AAGTTCTGCAGTACACCACCGTTTCTCATTACAGTCTTGATACTGGTCTGTAGTACACACGCACGCACACACACACATGCCTTGTTCCAAAATTTAAGTTACTTGTGAATTAAAATTATTTCAGACCAGCTGGAAAGAAAATGCCGTTGTGCATCTAGCGGCTTTTTCGTGATTTATTATTTTTAGGCACTACATAATTTGTCTTCAAAATTTCTACCTCCTTAGCCCATTTTCCTTCCGTAGGCCTGCGAAATCATTACAGTCATTACATTACAAAATTTTTAACACGTTGACTAATTAAAATGAAATTTAGTATCGGCATTATGCAATTATAAGTCACTAAAATCTCGTATGATTTAAGTAGTTACGGTTATAACAACGGTAATACAAACATGGCGGTATGCGAATTGTGAGATGCGAACTATGCTAGCGACAACTCAGTCGTAGAGCCATGAAATTCTGCGTCATAAAAGGTGTACTGTTTGGGAAAATATTTGGCTTCCAATGTGATGGTGATGGTTCATAAATACTTGGAATTAAGCATCTGAAATTTCGTAATGTGAGATGTGTAGATCGCAAACATTTCTACACATTACATGTAAGGCAATGCTTGAAACATAGCGACTGTACGAAAGTTTGAGGTTATGTCCGATAAATTTTACGTAGAGCAAATCTATACTTGATTTCAGTGATTTCTTACAAACAGGAAATACCATGATGATGATGATGATGATAATTCAATTCAATTTAATTCATGTTTATTTACGTGCAATAACTTAACAGCACAGTGGCCAATTACAAAGTTAGCACGAGTATATAAAGACACAGAAAAATAATTAAACACAATACAAATATGACAGAAATAAATCAGTGAGCTTAAATCTAAAGAAGACTTTATATATATACATACATTTATGAATTATGAATTATTATGAATGTTGCTAATACTATTAGCAAGTAGATACTAAGATAAGACAACTGGGAGTGATAGCATAAAATTAGTAACAAATCTAATAAATTAATACCAATTACATAAGAAAATTAAAGTTAGCCGAATTATACACATTTGTAGTTAATGAGAACACTAATCCAGTAACACTGTAAAAGGTTTGGTACATGCTTGTAAAATATGATTCAGAGAAACCGCTCCGTCTGCAAATATGTCGAGATCTTTACCCACCACATTGGTAACAAGGGCGCACCGAGAGGGGGAACAGTGTCTTTTTGAGGGACGAACGCTAAAAGTAGAGAAGTCTCGAACATGGCAAGTAGGAACACGAATAAATAATAACAATAACAATAACATAATATATGATACACTGACAATTTCAAACAGTACAAATTTGACAACATAATTCCATCCTATGAACATCTACTCATGAGTCAAACATGCTGGTCCATGAGCTAAAATGAATTTTGTTTTTCGACTATACATTTACGTTATTTACAGCATACAGTTTGTAGAACTAGAAGGGAGTGTAACACGAAAGTAGTCTTTATGAGTTGTACTCTTCTTTCACGAAGGTCACACCACTAAAATCATTTATGAGTAATCTTCTGTTTATTTCCGTCATATATATTACATTTAATTTAACATATCAGAGATTTTGGACAAATTATATTATTTAATATGTCTTAGTGCGTATTTTTTAATATATTCAGTGGGTCATTAACACATAGTAACCGTGACTTTTGTTGTGTAGTTTAACTCTGCTGGCTGTTTACATGAGGAGCATTAGTGAAATGAGTAGAAAATTTTCAGTAGAATAAAATACGATAAGATGACTCTATTCTGGGCTGTGACTACTCTAAATTTGGAGGCGTCAGGTTTGCCCAAAATGCTGATACGTATCTACCAAACTGCATCTTCAAATTTAAAAAAAAAGAACATAATCTTACTACTCCTCACCATGAGACCCTGAAGTCTCAGATAGTTACATATTTATTATTAAAGCAGTTAATTGATTAGTTTATTAGTTAATTACTCAGTGAAGTCTAGTTATATCAGAATCCTTCCACGTTAGTGCGCCCATTACAAAATAGTAGTGGAGAAATATTGATTTAATATATTCGTTGAAGGATAAAAATAAGCTTAAAGTTAAGAGGCGGGCAAAAGTAAGAGGGATTCTGCACAAAATATGATTACGGCGAAATAAACGTAAACCGTTTTAGTTTTATTGGGTTTAAGCATGCAGTCTCTATCATTTTGGCAGAATTGCTTCCGACAGACATTTCATTCTCGCTTGTTTTAGCTTCATGGTTACCTTTGTCAACAGATCTGAACGTCAGCAGGTATTGTACAAAAGGCTCATTCGCGTTTATCGTAATTAAATCACACATACTGTAACATTCCATACGCGAATGAAGTTTGGTCTTTGTTCCCTTTATTATCAGGTTCATCAATTTTTCATTGCATTATTCAGCATAATGCACAATACATTATCGCCTATCAAATATGTTGAAACGTAATTGAAACTTATACAGGCAGGAAAAACCAGCATCAGAAATAATGATAATGTTGTATAATAGTAATCGGAGACAGTTGATATGTTTCCTCATAAATATATTTCCATACTACAAAGCAATAACGTGGTAAACTGTGCAACTGGGAATTGTACAACACAAGAATCTTGAAACATATACTAATATGCAACATAGAGAGGCAGAATTGGTACCAGTTGGATAAACTGCAAAAAAAAAAAAAATCGCTTACAGAACACATGGTTAATATCTCTCAGTTATATTAATTATTTCAAAAGGAAATATTTGCAAATCGTTGCATTTACTAAGAAAAGCAATAAATATAACAAAATATATATGTAACTAATTAAATACTAGAATATGAAGGCATATGATGGAGTGGATGCATAGATCCACATGTTCTTGACCTCTGCACTAGTTGGAGTTGAGTGGTCAGGTTCACGCCCCGACCGCTTTACCCCCTTCAGGGAAAGAGCCCACGGCACCCATTGGATATGAGTTTGGGTGGACCAGGCAACCGGTTTCTGCGACATGGAGAGAAGAGAAATGTTGCCCCTCCCGGGACTGGAGCTCCGACCGCTCGACCTTCCAGCCCGTAGCCAGTCGCTAAACTGACTGCATTATCCCGGCTTAATATGTTATACAGACCTATTGCAAAACTTAATTTAGCATATAGATTATACCTCGTAGGGATGTTTCTCTATGCGCCTAAGCGACAACATATATCACTGCGCCATAGTTCCTTTAAAATTGACAAGTTAACAAATCTCTTTGTCTCTATGGCCCTAGAGTCCTTGTGGACCTTGGCCGCTTTTTTAGTTTCGTAATCCTATATACAGAGTCGGTAGGTCTCCTTGGACGGGGGATCAGCCCCTTTGCAAGGCCGCTACCTCCACACAGAACAGCACAAGCACAGAATAAACCCACACAGACATCCACGATTTGGGTGGGATTCGAACCCACGACACCAATGTTCGAGCGGGTGAAGTTGGTTAATGCCTTAGACCGCGCGGCTACTGTGATCGGCAAGTTAGAGTCATTATGCTAATTAAATGTGTCGCTAAAGTAACGCACTCAGCGTAACTAAGTAAAATTCAGTCGAGACCATAATTGTAAAAGTGACAATCATTTAAGCCTCTGTGGTTTAATCACAATCTTGAACAGTTTCAGATGTGTCTCTCGCAGACGCTATGTTACCAAATAATACATAGTTTAGCGAAGCCCACAAATTTGTTAACTAGACGGGCCGGTTGCAGCACAACGGTCTGATGACTTGCAGTTGCTACTGAGGAAGGAATGCGCGGCAGAGGTGTGAAAACTGTGGAGGAGAAGGCGAGGACCTCCCAAAAACCAGCAACTCACCTTCCTTAACGATGGGGCCGATCCGGGTCTCTTGTCTGTGTGATCATGACGTCTGAGTCAACAAAAGTGGGGGCTACGCTTAGTCCAAATTAATGGACACCAAGTTCTCCGTTGTGAAATTTTCTGGCATTAACGACAATTACAAATTCTTTAATTTTTTTTAATAGACACATGTTGTTGTGTTGACGAAATTGGTTGTGTGCCAATTATGAATTCTGACTTTCTGGAATCAGGAAAATCATGTCTTGGGAGTGGGTCTCAGAAGCAGTAATAGTGAAATTCACTTCGAAGAAATGAAACGTTATTTATTCATTCTCCATATTCATCTGTACTGCTGTAAACGTGTGTCATAGGCTACAGTGGCATTCTGCATTTATAAATCTAACTTTCATCTTTAAGGCTCTGGTAAAAACCAGGGAAATTATTGAACTTTATATAACTTGTGCACTTTGAGAGGGTGCCGATCACACTGGCCGCGCGGTCTAAGGCATGAAATGTCTTCTCTCGCTCGAACACTGGGATTGTGGGTTCGAATTCCACCAAAGGCATTGATGTTTGTATCTTTTATTTTGTGTTTGTGCTGCTGTGGAGCTGATTCCTCGTTCAAGGAGTCCTACCGACTGTGAATAGGATTGATAAACTGAAAAGCGGCCAAGGCCTAACAGAGAACTGTGGAGCCACAGATAGATAAATAGATAGGTAGATATAGATAGGTAGGTAGGTAGATAAATAGACAGAGACAGACAGATAGGTAGATAGATAGATAGATGGATAGATATAGATAGGTAGGTAGATAAATAGACAGACAGACAGATAGGTAGATAGGTAGATAGGTCGTGATAGGTAGGTAGGTAGATAGACAGATAGATAGGTAGGTAGGTAGGTAGGTAGATAGACAGATAGAAAGGGGTCGTTAAATTAACCAAACAACAAACAGTTTCTTCCTCCCGAATACTGTCATGGTGCCCAAATCATTGCACCGGCTATCCTACATGACATCTGAGAACAGATCCACTATGAACATTATTTTTTCTGCTTATAATAACATTAACCTTTAAAAGAATATCGGGGTGAATGGACAGTTCTTGTACTTGTATCTGTAAGAAATGCCGAAGCTAGATGTTTAGTTTTTACTTCTGTAAATTTATTTGTTGCAGTCTGCTGTGTCTGGCTGGCCATTAACAGCGAATGGTTTTTAATGCCATCTGGAGGGAAAAAGGAGAATGAGAAGTAACAGCTGACATACACTAGGCTGGGGAAGTTTGTGTGAATGCAGTCTGATTCCGGACAAAGTGGAGCGCGTCACTAGTCATAACGAAATGGGAGCAGAACTGTTAAAGGTAAATAAATGAGCGTCGTACATTGTTTCAGTTAAATGGACGGTTACTTCAGTTGCTGCCTTTACGTGTTCTTTTTTAATGCGCCATATTTTACATGCTCTGTGGTCAGTGAAACTCTGTTAGAATCAATCTCCTTACTCCACGCTACATTCTGTTTCATAAAGAGAAGTAGGTCCATTCTTGAACTTTTAAATCAGCCTTACAACCTCCTTTCAGATGTATGTTGTTACAACGGAGACGTGATTTATATGGTTGCAAAAGCTGATTCTATTGAACATACACTGATCTTACAAGTATTTCAAACTGCTTCCCAGATATTCTAGAGTCAGGTTTAAAGCTGATGTCGATAAATCATGTGAGTCAGTATAACACAATAGATATGCCTATAAAAAGGCCCCAAAGCCCCAACATTCTCGTAGTTTTAAGTATACGCCTATAATTAAAGTTCTGTGAAATAGTCTAGAACAATTTTAACCACACAAAAATTAATTTTTCATCTTTACAGAAACACATTTTGAAATAGTAAGGTGATATCTGAGACTTTAAATTTTTATTCATCTTATGCTTTCGTTTATATTTGGTAAATGCATGTCTTTTCGCAATCATATTTGTAGTAGGCCTCACTTACTCACTCAAGGAGATGGTCCCTTCTTGAGAAGCCGCCAATTCTGCAGCTACTCAAGAATTTCCCAGCATTTTATGGAACCCGAAGGTTCATTACCGTGTTAACAAGAGCCCTCCAGCGGTCCCTATCCCGAGCCAGATCAATCCAATCCATACCATCCCACTCTATCTCTCTAAAATCCATTTTAATATTGTCCACAAGCCTGCACCTTGGTCTTCCCAGTGGTCTCTTTCCTTCTGGCTTTCCCACCAATATCTTACATGTTTTCTTCTTCTCCTCCCTTCGTGCTACATGTCCTACCCATCTCATATTCCTTGACTTGATCATTCTAATTATACTTGGAGAAGAGTACAAGTTATGAAGCTCCTCATTATGCAGTTTTCTCCAACCTCCTGTGACTTCATCTCTCTTCGTTCCGAATATTCTCCTCAACACCTTGTTGTCAAACACCTCACATTTTCTTTAGTCTAGGTCGTTTATCCAGAGGATTCGTCCAGTTCCAAGGCTTTTTGAACATTTTCGTTATAAGCCTATTTCTTTATGGTGAGGAGTTGTTAGCTCCACACTCAACCCCCAAGGTTGAGAACCACCCCTTATCGGCTGTCCGCGACTACTTATTCAATATATTCGCAACTTCCCTACATACCTGGAGGTCGTCTCCTCCATTTTTCTGAAGCTGTAGTGTATGCAGTCACTACACGCACTGGGTAAAATTNACATACCTGGAGGTCGTCTCCTCCATTTTTCTGAAGCTGTAGTGTACGCACTGGGTAAAATGGAGAAGCAGAGAAGTAAGCTACCACCTGACAGACCCATGCATCAGGTTGGCGCCTTGTGTTGTCACAGCACTGAAAGAAATCCGAAACTGTAATTTTCAGATTCACTTTGTTTAGGGGAAACTCGGAAAACACGGCCGGACACGTAACTGTACTCATTGTGTTTGCGCATGCGTGGGCATTTGCTCTCGTGTGCGCATGTTTGTACACATATGTGTAGGCAAACACACACGCACACGCACACACGTTGTCACCAAATTTCAGTAAATTTAGTCGAGTTCAAAGTGTACTAAGTTTGTACAAATAGTGTAAGTCTGAGTTAAGAAAGAGCTAGGAATTGTTTTCCAGATGCTGCGTTTTTCTGATTATCATAAATTTAGTAAAAAGAATATGTAATTTCGAAGATATTTTTAGTTTCTAGAGCAGCCGCGCCGTTATCATCTCCAGTATCTGCTGGACTGTACTACGTGGATATCAGAAAAATACGTTACTGAAGAAGACAGCAAAGCTTTCAATATGCGTGCCTCCCATTCGGCTTATGCAACATTTCATTTAGTCGGACGGTGTTGATCCGTCAGTTTATTTGTATAATATAACAAATTTTAATTATTTTCAAGACTCACGTACTCTTTATTTTTATGAAGACGTAGTAATAATTCCTTTAAATTCGACACGTAAAAAGACCAGATATATTTAAATTAAATGTGGGCACGCGGTAGCGTAGTTGGTTGAGACAATATGCTACAAGCAGGAATGTCGCGGTTTTGCGTCCCGATGATGTAATTTAATTTTTTTCAATTTACCTAATCCTTTCAGCCTCACTATGGCCCTGGAGTTGACTCAGCCTTTAACAGAAATGAGTACCAGGAATCTTCTGTGAAGTAAAATATGCATTCGTATATATTTATTTATTTTTATAATTTGCAAATGTTGAAGCGCGCCATTTTGTAGAATTCAAGTTACACGACGCAGTTTAAATTAATCATGTTTAGTTCTTTTCTATTTGTACTTGTCATAAATCTCGCTGTTCATTACTTTAATGAATTCAGCAGTGGTCGACATTCGATGACAAAAGGTCTCATGAAACGGTAAATGCGAGAAATAAATGTAATAAATCTTTACAATAAAATTAAAAATTTTCTGTAAATAATATATAGATCTCTACATTGAAACAATATTGAGAACATGAACCATAAATGGAGTGGGAAAAAATACAATGTTCAGTAGTAAAACCAGAAGAGATAACTGGGAAGAACAAAGTGTCATTTAAAATGGGAGCGTAGCATTACAATGCATCATAAAAGGAGATGAGATTGTAAATTGGTTTCACACGGTTGAGGATAGAGTCCAGTTGATGGCTCCTGTGAACTCAGTAAATAAAGAAATTTGGGAATCAGCAAAAAGTGTAGAATTTTATGACCAACTGAATTACAGTTACCACCTCAAGAAAGGCTCTGCTCCATGGAATAGCTATCAGAATTTGCTTTAAAAATATTACTATAAGCCTGTCTATAGTTGTTTGATATTTGTATGAACGTGTGGATGGCTCTGAACGCATTGTACCTTTACAAACGTGTATTTTCTTACTCCACTTGCGAATTTTTATAAGTGGCACTGAAATTTGATTACGAAGGTAATTATATAGGCACACATCCTCAAAGCCCTTAGAAACAGATGTAACTACTGAAGCGATATTTTGAAATGCGAATTTCCATTCGTTTTATGTAGAACTTCTATAGGTTCACTGTTACTAGTAATTAATTAAAGAAAAGGGAATCTTCAAGTGACACTAACTTGCGTTTCGCTCGTCATGTTACGAGTATCACGACATGTCTTTGAATCCGGCGAATGACTCACAGTCATGACATTCTGTAAAAAATTATCCAGAGATTTTGCGATCTACAAATTATATTTACTTTTTTATGAATTTGTTTTTCCAAGTCTCAAAGCTGTACAAGTATTTTCTCCATAAAACGGAGTGTCTGCAATGAAACTGCAGCATTTCAGATGTATTAAAGATTTATTGTTTCGTTGAAACAATCTTACGGAATACGTATAGGGTCGATTTTCTTATAGTCAGTAATAGGATTTACTAATAAGGATATGACATAGCAACAGTATGTTTCATACTGCAATGTAATATCAGAAATGGAGCTGATTGACGGGCCGCCTAATTAGATACATAACTAAACAAATGAATTATAGCTAATTCCCTTAATTGTACCAATGCTCATTATGGCAAATAAAAACAACAGAAAAGAACTCCGTGGTTTTAGTCCGTAAGGGAATTATGACGACAGAGCGACGGCCGCTTTGTCGGCGAAGTTAGTGTCAACTTTAGCGGATAGAGGGTGTGGCGTGGTCAGGCAACGAATCCCCACAGCTGTTAATTTCGGTTTTCTAGACCGGATATTATGAAAAATACTAAAATTTATTATTGAACCTATATTAACTAGCTTCATCATATTCATAAATATCACATCTTAAACCACTAGAATTTAGTAGATGATTCCTTGGTGTTCTAGATGAGGATTTTGCGTGAATTTTATCCACCAAAATGTACACGCATTTTTTTTTTTTCATTTTACATTTTCTCAGCCTTCTTCTCTTCCTTAATAGAATTCCTTACAATTGACAGACTAATTATATATATGTAAACATAACGCAATTTTGTCTTTTCGTAGTCAGGTTATTTCATTGATATTGTAGCGTGTAGAGCAGTTACTATGCAGCGACACCAACATAAGCAAATACACCTGACCCGCTTCTAGGCAACTGCTCCGTAAACACGTTTCCATGGTAACGGATACGCATGCAACAATAGAGTTATTTTTGGAGACGGTATGTTGTACGCGTCCTGTACCAAGGAAGTATAAGGAAGACAACTGAGGCAAAAAATTCAGTTCTGTACAGGATACTATGAAGAAAATTTCATTCGGAAGGGAGCCGTTGTTCAGAGGGGAATTGAGCCCGAAAACAGAGGATTAGCTATTGTTAGAAGCCGTTATCAGGTACCTACTAGTGAAGGCATTGCGGGATGGAAAAGACATAGCATGTGCATTAGTGATGTGTAAAGTGTGGGAATTAGAGATGCCGCTGTAATTACTTGTAGCTCAGAGATGTGTGTATAAGTGGTCAATAAATCCAACATCCAATCTAAAACCCCGTCGAGAGTCACTCATACATGCGACAATATATATTTCCAGTATATTTTGTTTTATGATAGGCTGCTGTTTTCAGTGAGGAATATCTATTAAACGGATATTATAGGGCGTATTCATTATTAACATCATTCTTCGCATTTCGTCATAATAAGGGACAGTTTTCATAACCATACAGGAAACGGTTATTATTCTAATTTGTACAATTTTAATTTTCGCCGATCAGATATTTCGCGTTAGCAAATTACGTTTTAAACATATTCGCATATTTGGTGTGTGTCTAGAGCCGCGCCATAGCTCAAGCGGTTAGTCGCTGGCTTCCCACCGCGGAAGCCCGGGTTCGATACCGGTTCTGGGCAAGTGGGATTTGTGGTGGACAAAGTGACGCTGGGACGGGTTTTCTCCGAGTACTTCGGATTCCCCTGCCAATCT